CCCTCCCCCCGTCCCCGCCCTGACGTGCAACTCGTTCTGACGAATTGGTTCGACCTGATCTGATCTTGACCTGCGGCTGCTCGCCTTCCATTCGCTCCGCCCCCCAGCCTGACGACCCCAACGTGAAGAGCGTCTACGTGGGGGGCATCCCCCAGGATGTAAAGCCTGACGCCCTCAAGGCGCTCTTCGAGCAGTACGGCGAGGTGCGCGCGCCCCCCGCTGCCGCGCCCGCGGCAGCCCAGGGGTCGTGCGCGCTCTTGCCTGTGTCGTCCTATGTGTGCGCTCCTGCGTTTGTGCCATTACAATCGTTCTCTGATATTTGCTGTGTCAGAACGTGTGCTGTGATATGTGTGCGCGTCGTTCAGAGCCCGGAAACCCGTCGGCGGCGGCCCTGAGCGGTGAAGCCGCTGGCCTGGGGCGCAGCGCGAGGCGGCGGCCCCGGACCTGATGCGTCCAAGGATCTACCAGATCACAAGGGTCCCCCAGATCACGATCTCCCAGATCACCAGAGCGACCTGGCCTGAGGCCCGCGGCCGCCCTCTGATCGCCCGTCCCCCTTCCCCCCCAAAAGGTGGAGGACGTGACGCTGCTGCCCTCGAAGGACGACCCCGACCGCATCAGAGACTTCTGCTTCGTCGCATTCAAGTGGGTGTGGCGCCCGAGAAGGGGCGTGGCGCCGGCCCTCGCCCTCCGCCCTCCCTGCGTGCCGTCGTGCGCCGTGCTGGCAGCGCCGGCCGCCCCCGCCGGCTCGAGCGGGGGCCACCATGCCCCCTCCGCCTCTCTGCATGGTGTCGTGCGCCGCGCTTGCGGTGTCGTTCAGAACGGGGCTTGGGGTTTCGAATCTGGGGGGTGCTGCTTTGTTGAGGGTCAGGAGGGTGGCGAACGCGGCGGCCTTTAGCCCGGGCTGTCTGCAGCAGGGGCTGGGCCAGTGCGCGTCTCGTCGGCGCGGGGGCGCGGAGGTCTCACGGGTTTACCCCTCCAATTTGCCCGCAGGGAGCGCGCCGCGGCGCTGCGCACGGTGGAGGCGTGCCAGTCTGCGCGGCCGTCGCTGGGCGGCCACGAGCTGAGCGTGTTCATGGCAAAGCCCCAGGTGGGTAGCGCTGGGCTGAGGCGTGGCTGTGATCAAACACAGGGGGCGCGCAACAGTGCTGTTGTTTGGTGTGGGCCGCACGACTCCGCATGTGTGTGTGTGTGTGTGTGTGTGTGTGTGTGTGTGCGTACGCGTGTGTGTGTGCGTACGCGTGTGTGCGTACGTGTGTGTGTGTGTGTGTGTGTGTGTGTGTGTGTGCGTGTGCGTGTGCGAGTGTGAGCAGCGGGTGAGCTGCCACACCCTTTGGTTTGCATCTTTTGCTCTGACACTTTTGATGCACATGAGAGTTTTCGGCCCTGAGATCCTGCCCTGTGTGCTGCTGTCGCCGCGGCGCTCCTCAGGGCCAGCAGCAGCCGGGCCAGCAGCAGCAGCACGGCGGCGGCGGCGGCTACGGCGGCCGGGGAGGCTACGGCGGCGGCGGCGGCAGGGGCGGCTACCAAGGCGGCCGCGGCGGCGGGGGCGGCGGGCGCGGGGGCGACTATGGCGGCGGCGGCGGCTACGAGGGGGGCGGGTACGGCGGCGGCTACGCGGCGGCTGCCGGCATGCTGGGTGGCTACGGCGCGGGTATGCTTGTGATGCTGCCGACCGGCCAGCTCGGGTACATGGTGAGCCACCGAGGCGGCCGCTTGCCCGAGAGTTTCCCAAACCGGGCGGGCGAGGGCGCCACCTTCCTGAAACGAGGGTGGCTTTTGCAAGAGAGGGGGCCTCGGTCGGCGGTGGGGCGCCAAAGCAAAGGTGACACTCTCTGCCTGTTGTTGATTTTTCGTCCTAAGGACCGTGCATGCGCCGTCCCTTCGCCGCGTCGCGACCCCCTCCGCAGGTCAACCCGGCCGCGGCCGCGCTGGCGATGGGCGGCGGCCCAGCACGGCGCGGCGGGGACGGCGGCGATTACGGCGGCGGCGGCGGCGGCGGTTACCAAAGGGGAGGCAGCGGCGGGTACGGTGGTGGTGGCGGCGGGGGCGGCTACGGCGGCGGCGGCGGTGGGGGCGGCCGGAGGTATGCGCCTTACTGAACCCAATTTCTCTTGGAGGGCCCCCGGTGTTGAGCGACCGCTCAGCCGTCACGCGCGGCGGTGGCAGGACCCCTGTTGTGTTTCTCAGGTCTATGCGCCCCCGGGCCCTTCAAGGAAGTGATTCCGCGCGAAGCCCTCAGCCAGGCGCCCTCCCCCTGTCAGCAGCAGCATGCTTCTCCCCTAGCCCCGCACCCCGACGTCTTTGGAACCAACTTGCCCGCCTTGCGTGACTCGCGGCGCGCAGCGTGCGCGCCTGCCCCTGCATTCGCCGGCTGCCGACCCATCGTTTGTTGACGCGGCGTGCTTCTCGTGCCGGCCGTTGTGTTGGCCAGCCCCTGCTGTTTTGGCGCCCCGCCCCCTCTCTTCGTTCCGTGGCGCCATGTGTCCCCTGTCCCCAGCATCTGATGCGCGGGACCCAGCCTCATTCTGTCCCTTCGTCTGACAGTAACAGCAACCGAGATGGGTGTGCGTCACAGCGCCACCGCAACGCATCCCTGCATTCGGTGGCGGGGCCGGTCGTGCCACAAGGCCGGCAGTCGAGCCGCTCTGGCTGGGGGTGTTGGCAGTTGCGTTGGAAGCCAAAGCTGGGATGAGTTGCAGCACCAGCAACAGCAGCCGCCATTGCAGGCAGCTACCAAGGCACCCAAGTGCCAAGACCCCAGCCTTGATGAACGCGCAGGCACCGGGTCGCTGTCAGCACACATGTGCAGGCGTGCAGGCAAGTTCAGGCAACAGCCGGTCTGCGTGTGTGAGTTATGAATCTGGTGGGGTGCACACAGGTGCCAAGCTTCTGCAGCATGCAGTGGTGAGAGCGTTATGCAGGGAGAACAAAGGGCGACCTGGAGCCTCACAGTCGGTGCGGTGCGGCGTGTTGCAGCTGCAAGCAAGGAGTTGTGGCGCGTGCGCATGCGCTGCACGCATCCCCCTGTGTGCTGTGGGTGCGCTCGCGACACCCATTTTCGTGGCAATTGAAAGGCTGGAAATGTTCTCAGCAAGTTTGCACTTCAAATCTCAACTGATGGCCTCAACAAAATGCGTATGTGCAGCCAGGGTGATTTTGAGTTGTAATTGTTTGCAAACTCTGGGCGTGTGCCAACAAAATTCTTCGACGCATGCGCGCTGAGGAGGCGCCTACCCCGCGCGTTGGCGTGTGCCTCTCTCACCACACCGCACAGATGCAGCACCGGCGCCGTGATGTCAGAACAGCGATGCGCAATGGCTGCACGGACGATGATGAAAAGAAAGCTGGTCCCGCTAAGGCAGATCATGAGATCAATCAAGATCCAGAGGCCGATGCAGGCGCGACCTCGCGGTTGAGGGGGGCCCGCCACCAGCTGCCCTCAGCTGCCAGCCGTCAGCCGCCCGCGGCGGCCGCCGCCCGGCGAAGCCGCCGCCCGCTGGGGGCTTCTCGCGCCCGGCGCCAGTAGATGAAGGTGGCAACTGCTGCTGCTGCTGCTGCTGCTGCTGCTGCTGCTGCTGCTGCTGCTGCTGCTGCTGCTGCAGTATCCATCCAAGCCACGCAGCGCCGCTGCGGACGCGGATGCTGCTGCCGTCGCAGCTGCCGTCGCAGGCACGGCCGGTTGCGCGAGCAGAAATTGAAGCAGGCCCCCCGGCGTCGCGGCTGCTTCTGCCACAGGCCCCAAAAGCGCCAGGAAGGCCGCTCGCCTCTGCACCCGGCAGTGGCAAAAGCTGGAGCGGCCCCAGGTTGAGCCGAGGCACCCCCGGCGGCGCCGCGCGGCGGTGGCCGCGCGCGCTCGTCAGGCCAGCGTCGGCGGCGCCGGGCAGCTCGCAGCGCTGCGGCCGGGGGCTCCGCCCTGAAAGCAGTGACAAACCTGAGCGCGCTGTGAGGCGGGGGCTACCCAAGTCCTCGCCCCCGCCAGGCTGGGCTGCGGCCAAGGCGGCGCGGCCCCTAGGGCTGGCCCATGGTGTGGGGGATGCGAAAGACAGCTGGCGGCGCAGGAAAGACACCTGGAAAGCGAGAAGATGGGGAAGCGATGCGGGTGGTCGGTCGCAGAGTAACACTGGGGGAAAACGCCATCTGGTCGTTGCCGGCACCAGGGACGGTGCGATGCGAGCGGCTGGCGCCGGCAGACCCCTGAGTGTGATGCGCGCCGCTGGTGTCGCGCCCATTTTCGCGAATTTGCACCCACCTGCTCGCCCAGCAGAAATGACCGCTCCTCAGAGCACGCGAGCGCCGCCCGCATCGCGTCGAGCAGTCCGCCGGCGTCTGCCTCCTGCCCCTGGCTGCAACTCAGCTGCTCGGATGCGCCCTTGGGTGGTTCAAGGGGAGGAGGATGCGAGGTCACGCGTCGGGTTGAGAGGCGAGTGGAGGCGGGGTGATTGGCGAGCGTCGCGTACGGGTGTTTGCAAGTCTGTTGAGCTGATGAGGGCGCAGGCGGGACCCCGTCGACTGTATTGCAAATCGCCTACCAAGGACCCCCCCGGTAACCCGGCAGAACAGGCCTGAATATACCCATGCACAGGTGCCCATAATTGTACTATTTGAGTGTGCTGCTGCCAAAATGGCCCAACATCGCAGTAACGACGGTCACAGCAACCCCCACAATCAAACGATCCACCCAGCAACCGCATTCGCACCCACCATGCGCGTGGGCCCCGGGCCCCTCGTCTCCAGCTGGACTGCCGCCATCGCAGCCACCTCCGCCCTGGCCGCCGCCGCCAGCCGCCGCCGCAGCGCCGCCTCGCACTCCGCCGCCTCGGCGCGCGCCCGCAGCGCCTCGGCGCGCACGCGCAGCGCCGAGGCGGCGGACAGCAGCGCCGCGAACGCCTGCCACGGCTGCAGCCCCAGCGACAGCGCGTCCCTCCAAACCGCCTGAGTCAGGCGCTGCAGGTCGTGAATGGCTGGCTGCTGCTGCCCCTCCTCCTTCCAGCCCTGCTCCAGTGCATCTGCGATTGCCGCCTGGAGGCGCAGAGCCTGTAGCCGCTGCTGCCAAGTCACATAAAGTTGGAGCCTGTCGGCGCACTCTCGGAGCCGCTGCTCTAGGTAGCACGAGCGCGGCTCCCCCTGCGCGGCGGCCTCTCCCGACTCACAGCCCTCGGCCGCAAACCCTGGCCGCGGTCGCTCCGATGGGCCACCCAAGCAGGCTGCAGCTTGCAACCCCTCGGCGCCCACGTCGGGCAGCGACTCGTCTGCAACCGCAGCCGCCTGCGACGCCGCCGCGTCCGCAGGACACCTGGCGGCGCCGGCCGCGCCGGCAACCTCGGAGAGGCGGTTTTCCAGGTGGCGCTGCTCAGCCCGCTCCGCCTATTGGAGCACAGTCCGGTTTTGAGGTTGGGTTTGCCTCAGGGTTGAGGGAAAAAAAAGCTCGGGGCAGCAGGGATTACGAGTCCCATGAATTGGATGTCAGTTTGCTGACACCGCAACCTCAAGCCATCTCCTGGATACAACGCTGCCTTCATCCCCCCTGCATCCACCTAAATGGATGCATGCGCGTGCCATTTGTACCAGCGGACTGCCTGGTGCCTCTTGCGAAGCCCGCGCGCATCAAAGCACAGCGTGGCAGGTCCCACCTCTATCAGGGTGGACACCTCTGCCTGCTGAGACGTGACCCGCAGCAGCCAGTCCATGTAGCGCGCCGCCCCGGTGCCGCCGCCGCCCGCAGCCCCGCACGCCGCTGCCACCTGTGCTGACGCCGCCTCGATGTCCTGCGTCGAATAGATCACGGGGTTTCCACCCCCGACCGCTGCTGCATTTGCTGCTGCTGCAGAAACGGGCGGCCGTGAATGCCCGTGTGCATCGCAGCCGTGGCCGAAGCGGCAACAGATTGATCCCGGGGTCGCCTCCAGGATGGCCCGCGCCTCCTCGGCCGCGCGCCGCCGCAGCTGCAGCCGCTCCCGCCCGTGCCGCAGCAGCGCCCCGCGGCGCCGCGCGGACGCAATGCCGCCGCCGGGCGCGTCGGGCGCCGGCGCGGCCGTGCTTAGAGCGGAGCTGTGCAGCCCGGGGTCTGCCACGCACTGCTGCGCATCCTCTGGTGCATCGCCCCCTGCAGACGGGCCCGGAGGGTCTTCGCCGCCTGGACAACCGTCTGGCCTTAAGACTGGCAGGCTTCTGCACCATGCCTCATCGCGAGCCCCCATACCCTGTGACTGCAGCGCTTCGCAGGCCTCCTCCTGCCCTCCGTCGACATCTTCCAGCGGCTCTGGCCCGGGCTCATGTGGACCCTCTCCCTGCCGCGGCTCATCCGCGCCTGCCGCCCCTAGCGCCGCCGCGGCCCCTTCAAACATGCCGGCAGGGATGCGCCATCCTGCGGCCTCGTCGTCGCTGCCTGGCAGGTCTGCGGGGAAGATCGTGCAAGTCGCATCCAGGCTGTTTGTTCCCTGCACACACATCTTGTACTGCTTGGCGCTTTCGGCGCCCGCCACCGCCGCCGCTCCCGCCGTCCAAGCCGCCGTGGCTCGCCCGCCGCCGCTTGCCGGCCGTCCTGCAATCCTCGCCGCCGCCGGCGGGGCGGACGCCGCCCTCGTAGGCCAGCCCGCCGCCTCGCCGCAGCTCGGGCGCCAGGCCCGCTGCGGGCCAGCCGCGGCGATGCGGGCGCCTGGTGTTGACGCCCGGCGGCCCAGCAGCGCCTGCCCGGCCGCAGCGCCCTGCAGGCGGCAGCCTTGCCCAGACTCTGACCTCCTCATGTACCCTGAAGCCGCCGCGAAGCTGGCCGCCACCTCTTCGTCCTCGCCGTCCTCGGATGGCGCGGCTGCGGCAGCGGCCGCCACAAACTGATCGAGGGCGGCTCTGGCGGCGGCGGCGTCTTCACGGGCTGTGCTGAGCTGACACTCTAACGATGCCACCGTGTTGGTGAGCTGCAGCTTCTCAAGGACTTCCTTTTCCTGCGGCCAGCCACGCATTGTGGGAGTGCAAGGGTCGCGTGCACGAGCCGTGGTTGATTAGTGGTTCATCTGAACGACGTGCTGGGTGGCTGCTAGGACAGCCTTCACGCCTGCTGCAAGTGCGCCAAGCTTCAAGCATCTGCTACGCTGCGCTGATTGTCAATACCCCACCAAAGCTGCAAGGATGGCCAGTAACTGCCTGCTGGTTGTCAACTGCCTCAAAAACAACACTTGTCGCCATTGCAAGCGCTCAAAACGAGAGCAGCACCCACCAGCTGCGCCTCGAGCCGCTTCAGCCGTGCCCCCTGCATCGCTCCCGCCTCCCGCTCTGCTTCCAAATCCTCCCTTGCCGCAGCCAGTTCCGCCACGGCAGCCGCAAGCTGCTCCGCTACGTTCACTGTCGGCTCTTGGTCTGTGGTGTCGTCATCAGCTGCCGCCGCTTCAAATTCATCAATCTGTGGGATGTAGAGCAGGATGTCTGGGTTTTTGAATAGCTTCTTTGTGTGTGTGTGTGTGTGTGTGTGTGTGTGTGTGCACGCGCGCGCGTGCTTGTGTTTGTGTGCGTGCGCATGTGTGTGTGGATGTGTGGATGAGTGTTTGGGTGAGTGTGTGAGTGTGTGCGCATGCACGTGCGTGTGTGGGTGCGTGTGTTGGTGCGCTCAGATCAGACAAAGTCTTGATGATACAGGGGCCATGAATCTTGGATGCAGGTGATGCAGGTCACAAATTCGGCTTGACCTGACAGGCGCGCCAAGCAGCTTGACTGTCACTGGCCTGCTCATTCACGCATTGGCCGTTGCCAGCATCCCGCTCTACCACCGCACCCCAGAGCCCAACCCACGACCACGCCCAACCCTCACCCGCAGCTGCATCGCCCGCAGCTGGTCGCGCATAGCCTCGTTCTCCTGCCGCAGCGCCCCCAGCTCCGCCTTGCGCTGCGCGCTGTTGACCACCGGTGTGTTGGTGATCGTGCGCGCCCGAGAGGCGTACCTGCATGGGGTGGCGCATGCCGATAACAAAGATGGTTCACACGGCTTGACACGTGATGCACACTCAATCAAGCCGAGTGAGGTGTTGTCCAAACCTGGCTAAATTGTGCCTATAATTAAGGGGTCATAGAGCAGATGGTGCAGCCGAGGTTGCGCAACCTCGGACCGTGAGCGCCGCGGCCCTGCCCGCGCACCTGAGGGTGCTGAGGGTCTCCGAAACGTGCGCGTCTGCAGGACTGACGCAGGCGCACATGACGGTGCGGCTGTTGCCGCCCAGCGCGTTGCGCAGCAGCCGTGTCAGCACGTGGTCTCGGTAGGGGACATGCCTGCTGGTTCGAGGTGCGACCACAGGTTTTAATATGGGAAGTGTCAAGGAGCCGTCCACCGCAGCCAGCAAGCAGCACGTCTGCAGAGGAGCTTCGCAGTGTTTGATTGCCGCGTGACAGGCCGTCCTCCACACCAAGACGCGGCCTGGTCGCGCCTGGTCGCACCTGACCTGCGCCAGAGAACGCAAGAACCCAAGAACAGACTGTGCACAGGAGAGGGCAGCGGCGGCGCGGCAGCCCTCGTGGCGTTCGCTTCCCACCTGCGCTTGTCGGCCAGCGCCTCGATCACGTTGCCCAGCGCCAGCAGGCCCTGGTTGATGCTGCACGACTCCAGCAGGCGCGCCGCGCCGGCGGGCCCGCCGCGGCAGTCGCGGCCCGCGCGCTCGCTGCCGGCAAGGTCGACCAGGTGCAGCTTTGACTCGAGCGTCTCCTCTAAAAAGTCAAAGCACGGCCGCGACGCGCGGTCAACGGCGGCGCCGCCGCCGGCCGAGGCCGCGCCGCCCGTCCGAGGGGAAGCCTCGGGCGCGGCCGCGGCCGCGGCGGCGGCGGCGCCGGGCGCGGGGTGCAGCAGGAGGCGCCGCGCCGTCTGGCGAACGCGGATGGTGAAGACCGCGTGGCTCCGGGACGAGTGGGCGTTGGCGTTGGTGGCGGCGGTGGCGCGGGCGCGGAGGCCGTCAAGCAGGCACTGCAGCAGCTGCTCACGGTTGGTCACCTGCCGGGCGGGGGCGGCAGCGGCGGCGCATGCAGGTTGAGAGTATACTGTACGGCAGAGGATTGCTCCCTTGTGGCGGACTGCCGGTGCTGAATGCTGTTGTGGTTGTACACACAACTGCCACGTAGAATGTGGCGGCAAGATAGGATTGGCTTGGGACCGCTTTGTTGTGAATTCACACGCCTGTTTCACTGGAATTGCATGAGCATCGGTCAGGAATGCAGAAACCCTGCAGCCTTACCTTGACCTCCTCAAGCCCGACAATCAGGATGTCTTTCGTCGGATCTGGATCCCGATACGCCAGCACGCGCGACCCCCCACCGCTGCTCCCCCACGCCGACCCCGCGGCCGCGGCCGACAGTGCCGCGGCAGTGGGGCTGCCGCCGCCGCCCGAGCTGAGGCTGCTCCGGACGGGCTGGACGCCGCGGGGGGAGCCGGGCGGCGCGTTGCTGGGGCAGGGGGCTGTGGACAGCAGGTCCCTGATGCTGTCTTGAAGGATCTGTCGTCGGGTGATACGGCGTGCCGGGCTGACAAAACTGAGCATTTCGTGGGATCAAAATGGCCCAAATAGAGCACGAGCGTACAGGGCATGCGGATGGCGCAGGGCAACTTCCACGCCGCTGGAAGCAGTGCAATCCCAACGCAATGTTGTGTGCATTGTGTCACGCCCCACAAGCGCAGAACCCCCGCTTGCTTTTGTAGCCAAACCTTCTCGGTACATGCATGTCAGCACCCAAAAAGCCAGTGGTGTTGGATTTCTGCGCACCTCTATGAAGCTGCAGACCACCTGGACCTCCACCCCCTGCGCCTGCATCGCCTTGGACCGCGCACACACGTCGTCGATCGCCTCGTGGATCAGGGGCTGCCACGTCTGCGCGTCGCAAGCGCCGCCGCCGGCCTGCAGGTCCGCGCCGCGCGGCCCTCCGGCCTCCGCGCCGCCGTCCTGCTGCGCGCAGCGCTGGTGCTTGCCGCGCTGATGAGGGGGCGGCAGCTGCAGGGCCTCGTAGCAGCGGTCCATGTCGGTGCCCTGCGCGTGTTGAAACATGTTGGTCATTGGAATAACATCGCACAACAAGCGGTTGTGATGCATACGTGACACATGTGATTCATGAGCACGTGCTGACTGCTGTGGGGCTGCTGCCACCACCGCAGCAGCGCTGCCGAAAACGCACCACCACAAGACCCCACCTCAACCCCGACAAGCACCAACAGCCCCCCCCCCCATCGCCTCCGGCGCGCCTGCTCCTGCCCTGCCAGAGGTAGTAGAACAGCGCCAGCTGCGGCACTCGAACAAAAAAACCATCCGAGTTGCTTACCATAGTGAATGATTTGCCGGCGCCCGTCTGGCCGTAAGCAAACACTGTGCCGTTGATGCCCGCAAAGACGCCCTCCACGAGCGGCGCGACGCAGCGCACGTAGAGCGCGGCGCTCGGCGCCGCGCCCCCGCTGCCGTCGGCGCCAAAGACGGCGTCGAACCCGAACGATTCGCCGCGAGTCTCCCCCTTGAGAGTCACCTGGTGGGGTGTGTGACAGGCGCCGAACCTTGCGTGGGGTCTTGGGTTTGTAGAGTGCGAGGGGGTGGGTACAACGTTGCATGTGGTTCATGTGGATCCAGCTGCTCTTAATTTCAGCTTCTTTCCAAATCACTGAGCAAAGGGCTGCCCCAGCATGCAAGGGCCTCGGGCAGCTGCGCCACGCACCTCCGTGCCGCTGGGCGCGACGATGACCAGCGGCTCGCTGCCATCCTGGCGCTCGCCGCTGCTCATGGGGCGGATGTGAAGGGCGACGCACACCGCGGCGGCCTGCGGCGTCCGCTGGCTGGGGCCTGCTGCATTTGCTGGGTAGGCGCCCGCGGCCGCGCCGGCGCCAGTGCCGCCGCCGCCGTCGCTGGCGTGCAGAAGGCTGCCGGCGCTGATGGAGGTGCGGCCAGGCGCGGACGCGAGTCTGGGGCGCTTCTCCTCCTGCTGCTGCTGTTGTTGCTGCTGCTGCTGCTGCTGCTGCTGCTGCTGCTGCTGCTGCTGCTGCTGCTGCTGCAGCTGCCGAAGCTGTGCCGCAGCAGCTGATGCAGACGAGGCACCCCAGGAGCCGCTGACTCTTGGAGACATGGAGCGAATCAGGGCCGGGACGTCGCCGCCGATCGCACGCCGCGGCGACCTGGCAGACTTGGGAGAGCTGCGGCCAGAAGAGAGGCGCACGCCCGCCAGTGGGCGAGGCGTGCGGCGCGGCGAGGCCAGGGGCGATGCACCCCCGTCCGTCCGTGGAGGGGGGGGCCACGCCGGCCGACCGCGTGTGAGAGAGGCCGCGTGGCTGTAAGAGCTAGATTCTTCGCTCTTCATGTTTTTCGTGCTTTGGACTGCAAGCGTGCCGCGCAGCACTTCTTTTCTACAGGCTTGATCACAACTACCAGCTCCGCTGAGGCACTATCAGCACAGGTCAATCGAGCATGCCATCGCAACATTTAGAATCCTGCATTTGTAGCTGATCAGCCAAAGTGCAAGCAGCCGTGCCTGCCGACCTGCTACGGGATTGCATCAGTTCACTCGGTGCTGAACATTGCTGGAGCGCACCCCACGTGGTGCATTGTGCGTGTGCCAATTCAAAAGTTTGAGTATTCAATTTCATTGTCGTGGTACGCTAGAGCTTGCCGTGCTGCAGTCGCGAAGCGGATGTACTCGCTCTGGCTGGACGCCAGCACGCGCAAACACCCCCAGTTCAAATTACAACACGTATCTTTACAGGTGAAATACTTGAAAGTAGCATCCGCATCGCATAGTGGAGTCTGCGCAGACGTTCGCATGCACATCGCTGGGGCAACGTGCTGCTGCCTTGCCTCCGGCAGAGAGCTGAGCTACAGGGACTAAAATGAGGCTCAATATTCTAGTAGCAGCAGTCCTGGTACTTTTTGGAAGTGCAGGTGAACGCGTGGGCTTGGATGCAAGCGCCATACGTCAGCAGCCCAGACCTGTCACAGAGTCACTCCTGGCGTCGTTAATGAGCATGGGCCCCTTTTAGCCCCACCCATCAGAAGCGCTGTACGCATGCGTGTGTGATGTCGCCACATAGGACATGCGAACTTGAAAGAATGCTTTGCGTTCTTGCTGAAATGGTTGCGTGCGCACCGGTCGCTTTCCTCACGCGCCCGAAACAGTGGCCGGCGCGCAGCAGCAATCGCGGCGCCTGTTGGCTCAGAACACAACACAAGTCCCTGCAGAGTACGCCATGCTCGAGCCGCTCGCCAAGTTCATCGACGTCAAAGGCATTTGGAAGCTGGCCGGCCTGCCAGACCCGCCCAAACTCTTGTGCCACGTCGGCGTACTAGGGTGGCACTGCCACAACACAACACTGCACCCATGGGACCCGAAATCCCTTGTGCCACAGGATTCAACCCCCCCGATGCCGGCGACTGCGAGCTGCGTCGTCTGCCCTAAGGGGTGGAAGGGTCCCAAGGGCAGCATGCTCGAGCTGGCTCTTGACCTGCCCGCGTGGGCCAAGAGCAAGGGCGAGAAGCTGCCCTCTGGCATGTGGGATGGCACGAAGCTGCAGCAGCTTGCGGCATCGGCGGTCGCGGTTGCAAGCAGCGGAGCGGC